TTTTAAGTCATTTAAATTGGAATTTTGTTTTTCTTTGTATTGTAGCAATTATCCTTTTTGGCTGTCTTCAAACCATGTCTATTGCTTTTGAAAAATATCCAAGTTTTTCTCTAGTCTGATGACATGCCCTGTTCATTGTATTTTATATTCAAGTATTATGGAACTCCTTCTGAGCTGTTTGAATTTCATTAATTGATTATTCTTAATTCGATACTTTAAATTACGTACTATTGAAACAGATTTTTATATTCAGTAAAAGAGTTTCTATTCAAAATTTTTATTAAAAGAACATTTTGCAACAGCAGAAAAATTTATAAAGGTGTGCAAATGCAGCAGGTTTATCGACTTTCAATATATTCAATGTATTAATAACATGTATTAATAACTCTAATAGATATTTTGATCACATTGAATCATTTTTTTCTAGGAACATGAAAAGTTTATCATTGTGCAAATCCTTGGATTTTTAAAATTATTCTAAGGGATGTTTTTAACGTAGCTACAAAGCAAATTTGAAAAATAATACAGAATTCAGCATACACAGTTAAATCATAGGATAAAGCAATTTATAAGGAAGTGAATAAATTGCTTTGGGAAGAAAGACTTTATAAAGTATTTCTTATAGAACATTTCAAACAATCTTGATCATCTTTATACCCCTGTCCACACTGGCATCTTCCTATAGTCCCCCCACCCCCACCCCACTGGAGCCTGCATACTTTCTCATCCCTGTTAAGGCCCACTGTGCTGCCAGTCTCCCCAGCCATTTCCCAGTGCAATTTCATCCACTGAGTCTAGTCAGCCTCTATAGAGTCTTTTGTTTTAAGAAGATCAGCTCTTCTTCATTTAGTAGAAATCAGTTGCCAACATTCCTTCAGATGAGATTGGGGTCTACTGTTAATTTTCTCAGTTCTGTGCTAGGTTATTGTCTGCCTGAGTTTGCATGGGACTTGTGTGTGCTGACACAGTTACCATAGTATCATATAAGCAGGTCCTCAGGAGCTTGTAGGACTCTTCTTTCATATGGTCATGCACCTCCTCCATGATTCTTTTAATCTTTCTGCCCCCTCTTCCACGATGACCCCTAAGCCTTGGGTGGGTGAAATTTAATAAAGGAGTCCTGCCCAAGGACCGTTATTCAGCAGACTCTTGATCTCTACACTCCGGCCATTTGTGACACTTTGTGTTCCTGGCCCTCTGCTGCCTGAGGATGCTTCATTATTGAGGACTGAGATATTCATTAGTGTCCTCTTCTTTATCCTTGTTCTATGTTCTGTGAGCCTTAGGTATAGAGGTTGCATTGTAGATGTGTCCCTTAGGTCTGGGGAATTCATAGACAACGTCTGTGTGTGACCAGTTGTGGTAACTGGCAATAGTCTCTGACTCATACCAAATGAGCTTTTTTGATGAGTGGTGACTGGGATATTTTTCTATAAATATAAGGATACATGTCTTGCACATAGTAAGAAATCACATTGGTCTAGCAATGTGACAGCCTTGGGGTTTTCTCTAAGAACTCTGAGCACTCCAGCCATGTGTATTAGGTTATGTTTACATTACCCCACTTGAGTTTCCTCCTTCTGAGTGGGCTTTTAATCAAATTAGGTAGCTATTGATTGGCCTCCAAGATAAAATTGCCACTACTGCATAGAAGACATATGCTGTGATGGCTATTGATATGGTTATTTGGTCTTGAAGCTGGTGTTGGATCATCCATTGACATTTTCCCCTGGCACCTTCACAGAACTCTCCAAAGCTATGAGAGCTAGCCTTCAGGGGAAGTGGTTTCAGGTCAGTTGCAGCACTATTGCTCCAAATCCTGTGTCCAAAGTATGTTCTCTCTTTGGCAGTAGGATCTTGCCTTCAAATTCTGGGAGGCCATCGAGGGCTGTGGCAGTAGCCTGAGTAATTTTAAGAGTTTCTTAGACCACCCTGGCAAACAACTCAAAGGAAATGGCACTGTTTCTTGTTATATGGCCTTTAGCTTGGCCTTTGCTGAAAGGTTCTGGGAGACGCTGAGAAATGCTGAGTACACTGGGGATAAGAGGAGTGGTAACTGCCATTTTGGACATGCATTGGAGCAGTGAATGGTGGTGGAGAAGGTATGCAGACCTAGCGACATTGGTGGCACATATCTCAAAGCCTAGCCAAAATGTAGAAAATGGGCCATAGGACTTCATAAGTCACCCTTTCCCGGATGTCGTAAACTGTGCAAAACCCAAATAGAAGGTATTCTGTTGGTTTTGTCAGCCCTGGAACCTCAGAAGGTGGGTGTTTCCCAAGAAGGGGGAGGGGAAATTGGCATAACACCTTGGATCATGAATTTTAGATTGATACAAAACCTCCTATAGTCAGGTAAATATTCATCTTGTGTGATAAGATTCCTTACATGATCCATCGGACCCATTCAGTTGCTTGGGAACCAGTGGGCTGGGCACTGAGGACAGCTGCCCAAAGCATGACTCCTTCTAACATTCTAATGCCATCTTCCCATTTGCTATGACTACCACACGCTAGAGACCCTATGCCTTTTCTTGGAGATTTAGTTTCCTCCAACATATGGATACTATTTTTACTATTACACTTAATGTTTTTTGTTAAAGTTTAAGAGACTGTTTCTTGTGACATTAACTTGATTTTATTTACTGTTCCCTACAGTTGAACATAATTTTTCAGAGATCTTACACTGTAGTTAATATGCTATGATGATATGTAAATATGTATGTATACACAAGAATATGTATAATATGCAAGCATACTGTGCCATGTATGAGAATTTAAAACAAAATGAGTATCTGTTGAACTAGCAATCTAAGAATAATAGCTTGCAACTTATTGCTAATTGTTAAGTTTTATAGACACTATGTATGTTCAATACGACTTAATTTAGGAAATTAACATAGGAATGACTTTTTTACTTCATGGTAGGTCAGCTTATTTTAGAAAGAGATTTATAAACAGCTGTGCTTCTTGGCTACCTTCAGTTCTTGTGAATGACTTAATAGTTTCTTTTTTGTAATTGAATTTTTGACATTTTCATACAGTATAATTTGATGGTGTTTAGATTCCCTCCCCTAGCCACATGTCCCCTTATTGCCTCCGCACCCAAGTTAATGTATTCTAATATCTGTGCACGTGTGTGTGTGTGTGTGTGTGTGTGTGTGTGTACGAGCGTGCACCTTGGCCTATAGAACCTAATTTGTGTCCAGTGTGGGTCCATCCACCGGAGCCTGGTTAACTTACCAAGGTTGCAAAAGACTGTCTCTCCTCTTCCCAGCAGCCATCTGTTGCCATAATTTCCTTAAGTGGGATTGGAGATGAGATTCTTACCCATTTTCTCATGTCCATGCTGGGATTTTTTTTCTGATTTGAACTTGAACAGGAATTGTGAAAGCTGTCACCATTGCTGTGAGTTCATATGAGTAACTGATCAGCTGTCTAGAAGACTGTATCCTTGTGATCATCAATCACCTCCAGCTCTTGCAATTTTTCTGGCCCCCTCTTCCTCAATGATCCCTGAGCTTTGGGAGGGAAAAGTTTGATTTAAGTATCCTATTCAGGGAAACACACTCTGCAGCCTCTTGTTCTCTGCATGTTGTCTAGTTGTGGGTCTTTGTGTTAATCACCATTTGTTTCATAAGGAAACTTCTATGGTGAGAGTTGAGAGATGCAATAAGCTGTGATTATAATAATAAGTCATTAAGAGTCAGTTTAATAAAATTATTTAGTAGAAAACTAGTATTAGGTTCTCTCACCTATGTCTTGAAACCACTCTAGCTTCAGGATCCTAAGTCTGATATCAGTGTCAAGTCTGGGCTCAATCCTAGGAAGCAGAATTTAAATCTAATTAAAGAGTGGTTGGTTACTCCCATAATATTTGTGCCATTATTAGGCCAGTGGGCACATCTTGCCAGGCCAGTTGTTATTGTAGTTCACAGGATTTATAGCTTGGTAAGGTTGATGATTACTATTTCCTTCCAGGAGCATGGATAGCACCTTCCAGCACTATAAACACTAGCCAGTAGAGATGAGGCTCTGAAGTCAGCATCAGTTTGATTTCTCCTTGTTTGTTCTACAGATTATATATGTCATATCTTTTAAAACTAGGGTCTTACCATTCAGTTCTGGTGAGTAAGCAAGAGCAGGAGCAATGGCCAATATTGTTTTAGGGTCTCTGGAACTCCTGGTGTTGGATAAGCTTGTCCTTTGCATGACAAGTCAGACTAGGAAGCAATACATAGATGTCTACTTCTCTAGCTTCTCCCCATTTTACTTCAAACTAATTGGACCCTAAGACTCTCCATAGAAAGAGAGAGGAAGAGGGAAACAGTTGCCCCTCCTGCCCAGTCAGTCACCCTTAACTTCATAATGGGAAGGGACTAAGGATAGACACAGGGAAAAGAGAAGGTGATAGGAGAGGCTTTGC